TGACTGAAACGACGAAGACCGACGACGGCGAGCGACGGACCCACCGACCGAACGACAACCGATGACCGAACCGACCGACCAAACCACCGACCGCGACGACGAGGAACCACGACCGACGGACCAACCGACCGTAGCAGTAATAGTAGTAGTAGTAAAAAGATCGACCGTAGAAGTAGTAGTAGTAGTCGTAGTAGTAGCAGTAGTAGTAGTAGTAGTAGTAGTAGTAGTAGTAGTAGTAGTAGTAGCGGTAGTAGTAGTAGTAGTAGTAGTAGTAGTAGTAGTAGTAGCAGTAGTAGTAGTCGTAGTCGTAGTCGTAGTCGTAGTAGCAGTAGTCGTCGTAGTAGTAGTAGTCGTAGTCGTAGTAGTAGTAGTAATACTACTAGTAGTAGTAGTAGTAGTAGTAGTAGTCGTAGTAGCAGTAGTCGTCGTAGTAGTAGTTGTAGTCGTATTCGTAGTAGTGGTAGTAGTAGAAGTAGAAGTAGTAGTAGTAGTAGTAGTAGTAGTAGTAGTAGTAGTAGTCCTAGTTGCTAGTAGTAGTAGTAGAAGTAGTAGTAGTAGAAGTAGTAGTAGTAGTAGTAGTAGAAGTAGTAGTAGTAGAAGTAGTAGCACTAGTTGTAGTAGTAGTAGTAGTAGTAGAAGAAGAAGTAGTAGTAGCACTAGTAGTAGTAGTAGTTGTTGTAGTAGTTAGTAGTAGTGGAAGTAGTAGCAGTAGTAGTAGCAGCAGAAGTAGTAATAGCAGAAGTAGTAGTAGTAGTAGTAGTAGTAGTCACCATAGTAGTACTAGTAGTGGTAGTAGTACCACTACTCATAGTAATACTAGCACTAGTGGTGGAAATAGTAGTACGAAAAATAGGAGGAGGAGGAGGAAGAGGAGTCGTAGTGGTAGTAGCAGTAGTAGTAGTAACCATCATAGTTGTAGTAGTAGTAGTAGTAGTAGTAGTAGTAGTAGTAGTAGTAGTAGTAGTAGTAGTGGTAGTGGTAGTGGTAGTGGTAGTAGTAGTAGTAGTAGTAGTAGTAGTAGTAGTAGTAATAGTAGTAATAGTAGTAATAGTAGTAGCAATAGTAATAGTGGTGATGGTGGTAGTAGTAGCAGTAGTACTTTTAGTAGTAAATGAAGAACAAGAAGAAGAGGAAGAAGTAGTAGGGGCCCAGGAGCTCCAGGGGCCAGTGGGCGCCAATTGCTAGGCTAACGCTTCAGGGTGCTGGTTGCGTTATCGCTTTAACAGAAGGGAGGGGATCTGAATTGCTGCTTGAGACTACCAGGTGGCGCAGGTGAACTACGAGGGGGAGTTTGGCCTGGACATGCTGCGTGGTCGTGGTGGTGGCATTGCAGGCAAGCAGACGATACATCGAGGCGAGCCGACGACACTTTTACAGGCTATGGTGGATGTGCTGGGGCTTGGCAAAGTTATCGCCTTCGTAACGGACTCACCTTACGTCGTCAAGGGGGTGGCCAAGCTCGCAAATGAGGTCCCCCGAAAACCAACATGAATAGTTGGCAAAAGCTGGGAATGGCTCAAACTCGTTACGATCGAGAGCCACCAGTCCATTGAGGATGATTGGAGGACGGGTACACTACTAGAGCATGACTTGGTCAACTGCTGAACGGAGAAAGCTGCTGGGCTATGGGCCAAAGAAGTTGAGTTGCTGTCGACAGAACGGTAGTGGACTCGGTAGAGCATGGCGGGGCCATCGGACGTGCGGTGAGAAAGCATGTGGAGAAGGCTGCTCTGGCAGCTTCTGAGGCGGAGCCCAGATGCTTGAGCCATACGCGCTCGATGGCTAAGAAATATCAAAGACGGGTCCATGGTCCATGTGTCAGATCATGCTGTTTTTTTCACTGGGATGGGATCAGCCTCTCATTGCCATCAATGTACGTGCAGCGCTAGTGTAAGGAAGCTGGCACCTTTCTTGAAGACGACGTGCATGGGTGGCATTGTCAAAGATTCTATCCGGAGAGATGGTGATATTGGTGTTTTGGTTCAAGGCAGCCCGATTCACGGCTTCCACCTCCTGGCTTATCTCTCGGACGTGCAGGTTCACGCATGTCTCAGGTGTGGTTGCGACGGGAAACATTTCATTCAAGGGTTGGCTGGACAATGCAGTGTCGGCTTAGGCTGCCATGGACGACAGACCCTCAGCAAGCTGGCGACAGGCATGTTGCAACTGGAAGGCACTCAGCTGGGGGGGGGGTTGGGCTGCCCCCGCGGGTTCACAACGTTTGTTTTCTCCACACAACGCAGAGACGACACAGCGACTCAAAAGCATAGAGGATCACCACAGCAAGGCTGCGCCACCACGTGCGATTGAGGAGCGTCTGGAGTGCTAGCGCGGGAAACTACGCGAAGACGAAGAAGCAGGAGGACGAGGGAGAGAAGAGAGCAGGGCGGGAGCAAATAGAAGAGGGTTCACAGGGGGATCGGCCTCGCGAAGCCGAAGCGGGTGTCTCTTCGACTGCTGCTGGGGGCGCGGGGCCCACCGGAAAGCACGGAGTCGCCACGGGCTCTCCGGAAGATCGGCAGGACGAGGCCCTTGCCCGGGGCTGGACCCAAGAAGCCAGGGACCCCTGGGCTGAACCTGCTCAGCGCTCCCCGTCTACGGGGGGGTGGAGGCGCAAGAGGGGGGAGGCCAGCGCGACGACGACGATGGTGCGTGCCATGGTGAAGGCACTGGGCCGGGCGCTTCCCCCACGGACCCGCAAGGAGGCGCTGGAGGTGTCTCTACATGTGCCATGGTGGCGCTGGGTCGGGGGCTGCCCCCGCGGACCAACATCAACACGCTAAAGGCGAAGCTGATGAGGATGCTCTCATGTGCCATGGTGGGGGCACGAGGTCGGAGGCTTTCCCCGCGGACCCTCAAGAAGGCGCTGGAGGTTCCTCGAGGTGCCTTGGGGGTGGCACGGGGCCAAGGGCTTTCCCCGCGGACCCCGAGTGCCACCGCGCCCGCCCCAGTGGCTGAGCTGGCGGGCGCACTCCTTTCCTCTCCTCTCCTTCCCTCCTGCGCTTGCTCTATGCTGTGCCAAAGCGGCTTCCGTGTCAGCCAGGGTGGAGTACTAATCCTCCTCCTCCTCCACCTCCTCCTCCTCCTCCTCCTCCTCCTCCTCCTCCTCCTCCTCCTCCTCCTCCTCATCATCATCATCATCATCATCATCATCATCATCATCATCATCATCATCATCATCATCATCATCATCATCATCATCATCATCAGCATCAGCATCAGCATCATAATCATCATCATTATCATCATCATCATCATCACACCACCATCATCATCATCATCATCAGCAGCAGCATCATCATCATAATCATCATAATCATCATCATCATCATCATCATCATCTCAATCATCAGCAGCAGCATAATCATCATCATCATCATCATCATCATCATCATCATCATCATCATCATCATCATCATCATCATCATCATCATCATCATCATCATCATCATCATCATTATCATCACCATAACAATCATCAACATCCTCATCATCAATATCATCAGCATCATCATCACCACCACCAGAATCATCTTCATCATCAAAATCATCATCATCATCATCATGGTCATCATCAGCATCCTCAGGATCATCATCAACATCATCAGCATCATCATCAGCATCATAAGCATCATCATCATCATCGTCATCATCATCACCATCATCATTATTATCATCAGCAGCATCGGCATCGTCATCATCATCATCATCATCATCATCATCATCATCATCATCATCATCATCATCATCATCATCCACCTCCTCCTCCTTCTCCTTCTACTTGTCCTTCTCCTCCTACTCCTCACTCCTCCTCACTTATCATCATCAGCAGCAGCATCATCAGCAGCAGCATCATTGGCAGCATCAGCATCAGCATCATCAGCATCAACATCATCAGAAGCAGCAGAAGCAGCATCATCAGCAGCAGCATCAGCATCAGCATCAGAATCAGCAGCCTCATCATCATAATCATTATCATCGTCGTCGGCATCATCATCGCCATCATCAGCACCATCATTACCATCAGCATCATCACAATCAACATCATAATCCGCAGCAACAGCAGTTCATCCGCATCATCATCATCATCAGCATCATCATCGAACTCAGCATCATCATCACCATCATCGTCATTATCCTCACCATCACCATCATCATCAACACCAACACCACCACCCTTCCATCATCATCATCATCAGCATCATCATCATCATCGTCGTCATCATCATCAGCAGCATCATCATCATCATCTGATTATCCACCTGCTCGACCACCTCCCCCCGCAACGCACCACGCTCCCCTTTCTGATTGCACATCAAACGATGAGGTCACTTGGGGGATCAAGGTCCTGTGGGACACCCCAATGAGAAGGGATGGGTGAGAGAAGTTGGATGTCAGATATGACGCGAGCGCAACTAGCTTGTCGTTCCCCTTCTCCTCCTTCTCCCCAAGCCTCTTCTCCCCCTCCTCCTCCCATCCTCCTTCTCATCCTCCTCATCCTTCTCCTCCTCCTCCTCCTATGCCTTCACTTCTCCACGCGTGCGCGGGGGATGGGGAGAAGAAATGAAGACTGCGGCAGCTTGCAGAGGGAAGAAGTGTTTCCCAAGCGTGGGGCCTCACAGATTGAGGCAATGTCGGTGGTGGCCTCCCCATGTGGAAGGACCATATGCTAAAAAAGAGTCCAGAAGCTGGTCCGGCTATATGACACATCCTGAGAGCCGATTGTATTCCCGAAACCGAGTTGTCAGCGGCCGGGTTGGAACTACTGCAGAGGAGGATGGGAGGAGGGAGGAGGGAGGCGGAGGAGGAGGAGGACCTGCCCCCTCCTCCTCGTCGTCCTCCTCCCTCCTCCTCCTGGTCCCAGTTACCTTCTCCTGGCGGCGAAGCTTACGACGACGACGACGACGACGACGACGACGAGGCAGCGGTGGCAGCGGAAAACGGCCTCGATGGCCACGACGACGACGACGGTGCGGCGGCGCGCGCGCATGGGCCCACACGTCCGGAGCCGCGGCGCTGGAGACCTCGGCCAACAGCGCCAGCAGGCGCTGCAGCCGGCCTTCCGCTGCGGCCAGCGCGCGCCCGAGGCGGAGCTCCGCGCTCACCTGGGACCGTCGTCGTCCGAAGACGAATCGGTCGCCGTCGTGGTCGTGGTCGTGGTCGTGGTCGTGGTCATGGTCGTCGTCGTCGTCGTCGTCGTCGTCGTCGTCGTCGTCGTCGTCGTCGTCGTCGTCGTCGTCCCCGCGATGTGGGCCGCAGGCGCGGCGGCGCGGGTGGCCGGTCGTCGCCGTGGTCATCGGGAACTCTTGGACAGGGTGTCGCCGCGGCGGCCCCAGCGACACGCCGTGCCCTGCGAGAGGATAGCGTGTCGCTCCGCTGCGCGGGGCGGGAGGCTCGGAGTGGCTCGGAGCGTGGACGCCCGGGGACAAGGAAGCGGACAGCGTGCCGCGCCGAGGCGTGGTGGGCCGGAGCTGGCGCAGCGACACGGTATCCAGGAGTTCCCGACCGTAGTCGAGAACGGGGACCTCCAGGGATCTCTGGAAACCCAAATCTCCACGGCTGGGAAAAACAAGCGAAGAGAATGAGAGAGAGAAAGCAAGGATGGAAAAACGAACAAACAAACAACTGCAACTACAACTACAACTACAACTAAACCTACAACTACAACTACAACCACAACCACAACCACCACAACAACAACAACAGCAGCAACAGCAACAGCAACAGCAACAACAACAACAACAACAACAACAACAGCAACAACAACCGCAACAACTACAACAACTAAAACGAAAGTCCATTTCCTCTTCCTCCTCCTCCCTCCTCTCCACTGCTCCCTTCTCCTCATCCCTCTGCATCCTCGATCCCTGCTCCTCGCACCCCGTCGCGCCCCGCCGCACCCCGAGGCGTGCCGACGGGGCGGGCCGGGCACTTCGCCCGAGACTTCCTGACCACGTACAGAGCAGTTCTTCTTTTTACAACATGGGATTCAAACAAAAAAACATGAGTTGATATTACATGATCAATGTATGAATAGATATATGCATGAACTAGAACCACGCGCGCGCTTCGCGCGCGCTTAGGTTCTGTCGAGTCACAGACCCAGGAATCGTTGTGAGAAGAAATTGGTGACGCGAAGCGTCGTGGGGGCGTCCTTGGACGTCTGGGGTCTCCTGGGGCCTCTTGAGGGGCCTCCTGGGGGCCTCCTGGCGGCCTCTTGGGGCGGAAGGCTCGAGCTTGCGGTTCGTGGTCCCCCTCTGGGCCCCCTCTTGGGCCCGTCTTGGGGCCCTCTTGGGCCATCTTGGGCGCCTCTTGGGCCGTCTTGGGGCCCTCTTGGGCTGTCCTGGGGCCCTCTTGGAAGCTTCTTGGGCCGTCTTGGGGCGGTCTTGGGCGCCTCTTGGGCCGTCCTGTAACGTCGGAAAGCCCAAAAGACAACTTTGTTGAACATGTACGTTTTACAAAGGGAATGGGCCAACTTTTGCGTCTGGGGGCCCTCTTGGGACGCATGTTGGAGGCTTCTTGGGGCGTCTTGGGGGCGTCCTTGGACGTCTGGGGTCTCCTGGGGCCTCTTGAGGAGCCTCCTGGGGGCCTCCTGGCGGCCTCTCGGGGCGGAAGGCTCGAGCTTGCGGTTCGTGGTCCCCCTCTGGGCCCCCTCTTGGGCCCGTCTTGGGGCCCTCTTGGGCCATCTTAGGCGCCTCTTGGGCCGTCTTGGGGCCCTCTTGGGCTGTCCTGGGGCCCTCTTGGAAGCTTCTTGGGCCGTCTTGGGGCGGTCTTGGGCGCCTCTTGGGCCGTCCTGTAACGTCGGAAAGCCCAAAAGACAACTTTGTTGAAAATGTACGTTTTACGAAGGGAATGGGCCAATTTTTGCGTCTAGGGGCCCTCTTGGGACGCATGTTGGAGGCTTCTTGGGGCCTCTTGGGGGCGTCCTTGGACGTCTGGGGTCTCCTGGGGCCTCTTGAGGGGCCTCCTGGGGGCCTCCTGGCGGCCTCTTGGGGCGGAAGGCTCGAGCTTGCGGTTCGTGGTCCCCCTCTGGGCCCCCTCTTGGGCCCGTCTTGGGGCCCTCTTGGGCCATCTTGGGCGCCTCTTGGGCCGTCTTGGGGCCCTCTTGGGCTGTCCTGGGGCCCTCTGGGAAACTTCTTGGGCGGTCTTGGGGCGGTCTTGGGCGCCTCTTGGGCCGTCCTGTAACGTCGGAAAGCCCAAAAGGCGACTTTGTTAAAAATGTACGTTTTACGAAGGGAATGGGCCAATTCTTGCGTCTAGGGGCCCTCTTGGGACGCATGTTGGAGGCTTCTTGGGGCCTCTTGGGGGCGTCCTTGGACGTCTGGGGTCTCCTGGGGCCTCTTGAGGGGCCTCCTGGGGGCCTCCTGGCGGCCTCTTGGGGCGGAAGGCTCGAGCTTGCGGTTCGTGGTCCCCCTCTGGGCCCCCTCTTGGGCCCGTCTTGGGGCCCTCTTGGGCCATCTTGGGCGCCTCTTGGGCCGTTTTGGGGCCCTCTTGGGCTGTCCTGGGGCACTCTTGGGAGCTTCTTGGGCCGTCTTGGGGCGGTCTTGGGCGCCTCTTGGGCCGTCCTGTAATGTCGGAAAGCCCAAAAGGCAACTTTGTGAAAAATGTACGTTTTACGAAGGGAATGGGCAAATTTTTGCGTCTAGGGGCCCTCTTGGGACGCATGTTGGAGGCTTCTTGGGGCTTCTTGGGGGCGTCCTTGGACGTCTGGAGGCCATCTTCAGCATCTCGGAGCCCTCTTGGAGGCCTCTTGGAAGTTCCTTGGGCCGTCTTGGGCGTTTCTGGGGCCGTCTTGTCTGACTGGGGAGGCCTCCGGCAAGCCCCGACGAGCCTCCGGGGCCCCCGGGGTGCACATTTGTGGTCGAGGTCCCGGCCCCGGGCCCCCGGACCCGGTGCGCCGTTATATGTATACTCATCGTTGTTTTTACTACCAAATCCCTGCATGCTTAATGCATGATCCGCACGCGGAGCATGTATTAAAAACGGCACTGTAGCCTCATACTTTGCAGAAGTTTCATGGGGTGAGCGCGGGCCGTTCTCAAAATGTAGTTCTCGCCTCGACGCCGCACACGTTCGTCTTCAAAGCTTGCCAGAGCTTCCTGGATGGAGGTCGGTACCTTTTCAAATCGTGGCTCTCGCCTCCGCGCCGAGCACACTCGTCTGAAAAGCTTACGAGAGCTTCACGGATGGATGGTGGCACATCTTTTCCCAACCATCCTGTGGTATTGGGTCCTCGTTTTGAAGAGACGGTGCCCCGCGTCCTCCTCTCCTCTCCTCTCCTCTCCTCCTCCTCACGTTCCTGCCTCCTCCCACCAGTGCCTCTGCCCTCCGCATGTCAACTAGTTCGGCGCTCCCGTCACCCCTTCGCTTTGGCACACCCCTCACACGTTTCTTGGCCCGATAGGGAAATCCACCGAAGGCCCCAATGGCATGGTTCGCATGCCGCCCCCCTCCACTTGGCACCCCACTCATACGTTTCATGGCCCCATGGGGAGCTCCACCGAAGGCCCAAGTGGCATGGTTCGCATGCCGCCCCCCCTCTACCTTGGCACACCCCTCACACGCTTCCTGACCCCTTAGGGAGCTCCACCGAAGGCCCCAGTGGCATGGTTCGCATGCCGCCCCCCACCCCCCTTCACTTCGGCACACAGACCTCACACGCTTCGCGGCTTCATCGGGAGCTCCGCCGAAGGCCTCAGTGGCATGGTTCGCATGCCGCCGCCCCCCCTCTGCTTTGGCATACCCGTCACACGCTTCGTGGCCCCATAGGGAGCTCTGCCGAAGGCTCCAGTGGCATGGTTCGCATGCTGCCGCCCCCCCTCTGCTTTGGCACACCCTTCACACGCTTCGTGGCCCCATAGGGAGCTCCACCGAAGGCTCCGGTGGCATGGTTCACATGCCGCCCCCCCTCTACTTTGGCACACCCCTCACACGCTTCGTGGCCCCATAGAGAGCTCCACCGAAGGCCCCAGTGGCATGGTTCGCATGCCGCCCTCCCTTCACTTCGGCACACCCCTCACACGCTTCGTGGCTTCGTAGGGAGCTCCACCGAAGGCCCCAGTGGCATGGTTCGAATGCCGCCTCCCCTCCCCCCACATTGGCACACCCGTCACACGTTTCGTGGCCGCATAGAGAGCTCTGCCGAAGGCTCCAGTGGCATGGTTCGCATGCCCCCCCCTTCTTCGTTGGCACACCCGTGGCCCCAGAAGGAGCTCCACCGAATACCCAAGTGGCCGTGTCGCATGCATTTCCCCTAACCAGTACAACGTTTCGTGTCCCCATGGGGAGCTCTGCCGAAGGCTCCAGTGGCATGGTTCGCATGCGTTTCCCCCGCCCAGTACTGCGTTGCGTGGCTCCAACGGGAGCTCCACCGAAAGCCCCAGACGCGGTGTCCGCATGCGTTTCCCCACCCAGCACAGCGCTTCGTGGCCCCATATGGAGCTCCACCGAAGGCCCCAGCGGCGGTGATCGCATGCGTTTCCCCAGTCCAGTACAGCGCTTCGTGGCCCCATAAGGAGCTCCACCGAAGGCCCCCGTGATGGTGTTCACATGCGTATCCACCACACAGCACCGCGCTTCGTGGCTCCATAGGGAGCTCCACCGACGGCACTGGTGGCGGTGGTCGCATGCGTCTCCGCCACACAGCACCGCGTTGCGTGGCCCCATAGGGAGCCCCGCCGAGAGCCCCAACGGCGGTGTTCGCATGCGTTTCCCCTACCCAGCACAGCGCTTCGTGTCCCCAAAGGGCTCAGCGGCGGTGTTCGCACGCGCCTCGCCCACCCAGTACAGCGCTTCGTGGGCCCAGTCCGGCAGGACGGGGAGGTGGTGGATGAGGAGGTGGGGGCATGCCGAATTGACGAGGAAGAAAAAGAAGAGGAGGAGGAGGACGACGAGGGGCAGGAACAAGAGTGAACCCACGATGCATCAGCGATGCTGCAAAACACTCTGCCGGCCCAAGTCTTGTCGCAGGGCCCTGCACGCCTTCCTTCTCGCTACAAGAGGCGCCCACTCGAAAGGCCCACACCCGACGGGCATGCCCTTCGGGCGAGAGCCTGCTTTGACAAGGCTACAAACTTCAAGCAAGCTGCAAGGATGAAGGGGGGCCGTTGTCAAAATCGAGCTATCGCCATAGCCCTGTAGACATTCGTCTGAACAGTTTGCAACAGCTACAGAAAGGATAGAGCACACACAGGTCGCTTTCAAAATGAGGCTCTCGCCCTAGCACCGCGCACAATCGTCTGAAAGGCTTGCAACAATCCAAGGATGGAGGACGCTTCCTGTTCAACGTTTCGGTAAACCCAGGCCCTCCATACCGCGACCCCCACTCCTCATGTCGGAGCCCACCCCCGACGGGGATCAAAGTCAACCTGTTCGCGCCCGTGGGCAGGAGAGCCCAGAATCGCATCGATAAGTCGGAGCGGCGATCGAAATGAATCAGATCGGCGGAAATAGGCAGCCGAGTCGGGAGAAGTCGAATCGGCGGAAATCGGCAAGCTAGGCCTCCATTGAGAAATCGGAGCCCGAATCGGAATCCGAAGTCGAATCGAATCGGAATCGGAAATCATCGAAATCGAATCGAATCGAATCGGCGGAATCGAAGCGAGCCCTGGGGGGGTGGATTCTGCGGCGTGTGGAGTGAGCCGACTGGGACCAAAGTCGCGTGGCAAGATTTGCCCGCGAAGGGGGCTAATTTTGGGGCTGTCGGGCGGGGGTGGCGCCCCCCCGCCCCACGCTCATTCCCAAACGCAGAACAGTGGCAGCCTGAACGGTCGTCGCCAGGGCGGGATAGGACCGCCCGTCGGGGCGGGGACGCCACGCGGGCCCGCTTGCGACGGGCGAACTCGTGCAGCGGCCCGTGGCCTGCGGGTATCTGACATGGCAGCAATGCAGCCCGCGCCGAGGCGAGAGCGCCATGTTTTATGTTTGCACCGCACCAATGAAGGCTCCACCAAAACTGGTGACAACCACCACGCGTGTGAGCTCCGTGTATCGACACGCAAACCTGGCATGAAAAAACGGGGCGCGCGAACTATCATAACGGCCGAGGCGAGAGCGCCATGCCGGGCCACGAGGCACGGGAAGGGAGAACAGTAGCACTCAGATAGAGCAGATGCACGTGGAGGGGAGGAGAAGGAGGAGGAGGAGAAGGAGGAGGAGGAGGAGGAGGAGGGGGGAGGGGCAAGCTAGGTGCGCTCGCGTCATATCTGACGTCCTACCCCTCCCTCCCATCCCTAACCATGGCGCTGATTTTCTCTATCCGCGGACGCGTGTCGTAGCGGACCTGTGGCTCCGCGCGCGCGTGCGTAGTGGGTGGTGGTGCACGTGCGTGCGTGCGTGCGTGTGTGCGTGGTTGTCGTGGTGGTGGTGGTGGTGGTGGTGGTGGTGGTGGTGGTGGTGGTGGTGGTGGTGGTGGTGGTGGTGGTGGGTGGTGGTGGTGTGTGGTGGGTGGTGGTGGGTGGTGGTGTTGGTGGTGCTGTGCTGGTGGTGGTTGTGGTGGTGGTGGTGGTGGTGGTGGTGGTGGTGGTGGTGGTGGTGGTGGTGGTGGTGGTGGTGGTGGTGGTGGTGGTGGTGGTGGTGGTGGTGGTGGTGGTGGTAGTGGTGGTGGTGGTGGTGGTGGTGGTGGTGGTGGTGGTGGTGGTGGTGGTGGTGGTGGTGGTGGTGGTGGTGGTGGTGGTGGCTGGTGCGGCGCGGTGGTGGCGGGCGGATGGGCGCGCGAGAAAAAGGCCCGCGCTGGGGCGAGAACGCCATCCTGAACGACGGAGGCCAAACACCGATCCGAAAATGAGGCCCACGCTGCCCAGCGCAGCGGGAGCACGATTCGGAACGATTCGGGAGCAGAAATGAGGCCGGCGCCTCAACGAGAGCAGCATTTTGGGAAAAAATGACGCCGGCGCCTCAGCGAGAGTCGTTTCCCGGGATTTCCCGGGCATCCTGTGTGTAAAAAACAATACGCGGAGGGTGCGCGGCCATCACCCGGACGCCATCAGGGGAAGGATTCGGGAGCAGAAATGAAGCCGGCGCCTCAACGAGAGCAGCACTTTGGGAAAAAATGACGCCGGCGCCTCAGCGAGAGTCGTTTCCCGGGATTTCCCGGGCATCCGGTGTGTAAAAAACAGTACGCGGAGGGTGCGCGGCCATCACCCGGACGCCATCAGGGGAAGAGGGAGAGTATATTCATATTGAGTAATTGTACAGGGGAACTGGAGAGGGGTAGGATAAGCAGACAAGGGGCGGAGGGCAAGGGGAGAAAGGGCAGAAGAGGAGACCGAAAGCGAGGGGCGGAAGGGGCGGGAGGAGGAGGAGGAGGAGGAAGAGGAGGAAGAGGAGGAGGAGGAGGAGGAGGAGGAGGAGGAGGGGGGGCGAGGGGCAGGCGGAGGCGGAGCCCCCCTTGAAGACGTGGCAGAGACCCGGGGGGGAACCCCCTCACTGGAGCTCCGCAGGTTCGGTTCGGCTCTCCTCGGACGCAAGGTGCACGACCTCGTCAGCCAGGGGGGGGCGCAACTAATGAGTGACACAGCCCAGAACTCCGCAGGAGGACGGACGAGGAGGAGGACTGAACAGCCTTGAAGAAGCAGGGGACAAGGCAGGCGAGACAAAGCTTGGGTCGGGCAAGTCCCCCGTCAGGCGGAGGGTGGGCGAGAAATGCAAGGTCGTCAGAAATACTCCAATATACTCCAAGATAGCCAAACATCGTCCCCTGACGATGTTTCAACTTCTTTTCCATGGGGGGCCCAAAAATATAAACCACCGCCACCTCCCTTACCCCCTCCCTCTCCCAGGAAGGAGGAGAGGAAGAGGGTAGAGGAGAGAGGAGGAATCGACGTGGTGGTGGTGTATATTCTTTGGGTCCCGATTCCACACTCCTCCTGTAGAGGGACGTGCCCGACGCAAGACAGAGCAGACGCTGCCACAAGACCAGGCCAGCCGGGCAGACGCCGCAGCGGAGGCAGGCGGCCGGCGGCCAAAGGGCGGGCGCTCGCCGCGTGGTTGCAGGCGCGGGCGAGGACCTCCGCTGCCCCGCGGGGGGATCGCCGAGCTGACCGGCGGGGGCGTGGCCCACGGAGCAGCAGCGACGACGAGGAGGGGGCCGAGGAGGAGAGGCACAACGACGACGAGGAGGAGGAGCAGGATGGGGGGAGGAAGGGGAGGAGGAGGAGGAGGAGGAGGAGGAGGACGAGGAGAAAGAGGATGAGGAGGGGGCGGATGGGGAAAGGAGGAGGAGGAGGAGGAACAGGAAGAGGAGGAGGAGGAGGAGGAGGAGGAGGAGGAGGAGATGGCCTGCCACCCCTGCTCCCCACCAAGCTCGTCGCAAGCGTCGTCTTCGTGCAGGTACTCGTCTTCCCGCCGTCCCCAGAGGTCGCTCCCCCTCCGCCGCCGCTGCCGCCGCCTGCAGCCCCCGCTGCCTATGTTCGACCTCCCCACGTGTTCTCCCCGTCCCATGACCGTGGCCTCTCCATCCACCAGCCTGCGTGGCTGCTGTCCCGCCAATCTCCTCCCCTACCCCTCCTCGCCATCGGCCCTCGTCCCGTCCCTCCTTCGCGTCGTCCCCGCTCTCCTTCGTTCACCTCCTCCGCCGCCGCCCGCGCCTCTCGTGCTCGTCGTCCTCCGGATTCGCACTTCGAGCCCTCGGCTGGTCTCCCTTCTCGGCCCTCGTGTCGTTTCCTGTCGTTGCGCTGTTCCCCGCCCGCGAAGCAATGCCCCGCTCTCCTCCCTGGCTCCGCAAGTGCACCTCCCTCTGTCATTCGCCTCCTCGCACGGTTCCCCTTCCGTCGACCCCCTTGGTACACAACCCCAAGGCCATGCGAATTAACCTAACAACTGGTGTCCCTGCGTGAGCGCACACTGGCCGCCAGCGTCAGGAGGACGAGGAGCAGGATGGCCCGCTCAGCCGCCAACGGCCGCAGCGTGGACGCGCACAGTGGCCGTCAGCACTGGCGCCAAGAGGACAAGGAGGACAGCGATGACGAAAACGAGGGGCAGGGCGAGGGGCGAAGGGGGAGAACAGGAGGAAAGCGAAAGCACGGAGAAGGAAAAAGAGGACGAGGGGAACGAGACGGAGGAGGAGGAGGAGGAACAGGAGGAGGAGGAGGAAGAGGACGAGGAGGAGGACGAGGAGGAGGAGGAGGAGGACGACGACGACGAGGAAGAGGAGGAGGAAGAAGAAGCCCCCCGCCGACTGCCCCTCTCGTGTGGCTGCTGCGCTGCGACCACTCGCTCGCGGCCGCCTGCGTCGCTGCTTCGCCCCCCACCCCAGACCTCGGCAGCTGGCACCAGCGACGGGTGTCCCGCGCCCAAGCTGCGGATCCTGGCGCAAGGGGTAAAGACTTCTCGCATGCTTTTGGAACGTTCTGGGCTTCCGGGGGCCCCCGGGAACATCCATGGACGGAGAACTCCAGAGACGTACCTCCAAGGTCCTGCGGGACCCAGACATGGCGGCTCGAAGAAAATCCACATGGCCAGTTTCTCACCACGTTCGGCCTCTGGGAGGTCGTTTCGGCCCAGGGGCCGCGCAAAGACAACCAAGGATAAAATTAGCCCCAGGGAAGGGTTCGCGAAGTCTGGGGGCCTGACGATTCAAGAGGGTTGGGGGCCGTCTCGAGAAAACAATGCCACCAAGTGTCCCGAGAAGGAGGAGGAGGAGCAGGAGGAGGAGGAGGAGGGGGACAAGGACGAAGAGAAGGAGGAGGAGGAAGAGGAGGAGAAAGAGGAGGATGAGGAGGAAAAGGAGAAGGAGGAGGAAGAGGAGGAGAAGGAAGAGGATGAGGAAAAGGAGAAGGAGGAGAGGAGGAGGAGGAGGAGGAGGAGGAGGGGACGAGGGGGAGGAGGAGGTGGAGGAGGACGAGGAAGAGGAGGAGGAGGAGGAGGAGGAGAAGGAAGAGGAAGAGGAAGAGGAGGAGGCAGAGGAGGAGGAAAAGGAAGAGGAGGAAGAGGAGGAGAAGGAGGAGGTGGAGAGAAGGAGGAGGACAAGGAGGAGGAGGAGGAGGAAGACGAGGAGAAGGAGGAGGAGGAGAAGTAGGAGGAAGAGGAGGAGAGGAGCATGAGGAGGAGGAGGAGGCGAGGAGGAGAAGGAGGAGGAGGAGGGAGAGGAGGACGAGGAGGAGGAGGAAGAGGAGAAGCAGGAGGAGGAGGAGGAAGAGGAGAGGAGGAGGAGAAGGAGGTTGAGGAGGAGGAGGAGGACGACGACGACGAGGAGAAGAAGGAGGAGAAGGAAGAGGATGAGGAGGAAGAAGAGGAGAAATAGGAGAAGAGGAGGGGGGAGGAAGAGGAGGAGGAGGAGGAAATTCAATTGCAGAGGCTGTGATAACGAGAAGGTTGGCATGGCGGCAGAAGGAAGTGTAAGCAGGCTCTTCCCCTCTAAGACACGCGCTTGTACGCGCCAGCGCTAAAGCCGAACGGCGACAGGGCATCCGATTCGGGTCGGGATTGCGTGGACGATCGAAAAGCTCTGGCTGCCAGAAACGAGCGAGAAAAAGAAAGCCAAAACTGTCCAACCCCCGCGCACCTTCCCAACCCAGCAAGGTCCCTCCACCGCCACCCGGCCAAAAGGCGTCGGAGCGGGCGGATGCTGGGCTCACCGCCTGTACTTGGGAGCTCGCCCGTGCTCTTAGGAACAACACTGGGCCGGACCCACGCGAGTGTGATTAGACTGAGCCTGCCCGGGCCGTGTCTACGCTTGAGGACTCCGAGCGGCGTACACGTGGTCCGAAAGCCTGCAACAGGATACGAGGCGAGGTATCGCTCGGAGTCGTGACGACTGAACATGAGGAGTGGAGCATACTTGACCCGGTAGCGCGAGCGGCAGGGAGCAAAAAAGGGTGAATCTTTAGGGACGCGCGACGCGCTCGCCGTCACCTAGCTCGCCGGAGCGGGACCTCAGTCGAGATCGCTGATCGGGCGCATCCAGCAACTGCTTGCCTGCATGCTCCATGCTCATCTGCCCGCTCCTCGGCATCTGCCAGCTCCTCGGCAGCTGCCAGCTCCTCGGATGGCGAGCTTGGCACAGCAGCACGGCCATCAGCGCCCCCCCTGCGGCGCTTAGCCTTCTCGCCACCTCTCCTCTTCCTAAGCTCGACCGTCGCGTCGCCGCTCTCGCCCTTGTTACTGTTCTTGCTCTTAGGCTTGCCGCTGCCCCTTGCCATCAGGCTCGCGTGACCGAGGGACCCAATAGGGGCCATCGGGCCTGTTCCGCGACGAAACGTCAGCCTTCAGCACTAATCCACCAGGAGACGCGGAAGAGACCGCGGTGGAGGAAGCGGCCGCGAGCCGCGGCGCGAGACGGACCTCGAGCGCGGGCTCATTGCAGCACCTCGCGAGACCGGCGCGTCGCCCGGACGGCGCAGCGCCCAGGGGGGGTCTGGCCAATCGGACTCCAGAAGCGGGCCCGAGCCGTGCCCTGGCCACCCGCCTGCGCCAAGGAGCCGACAGTGGCGCCGACTTGCCTGGTGCTCACTCGGCGTCCAAGTGTGCTCCCAGAACTGGCGCAGCTTGTGGCGTGCGCATCGAGAGGTTTTACCCTCGAAAGATGACGGCGCGGCGATGAGGTCTCACCTGAGACTGGGCCCCGCGAGAAACGAGCTTCGCAGATGACGGCCGAACGCACGACTGGCTCCAGCACCTATAGGAGGCACGTGTACCACCTCGAGGTCTTCTCAAGGATAAGGTCCGACATGTGCCACGCGTGGATAAAGGCCTGGACGCTCCCGTTGCAGCTCCACCGTTGTGAGCAGCTTCGAATCGCAGCGCAGGAACCGCAAGATCAGCGCGTCGGTGGTCTCGTTGCGGCGCCTCGGGAATTCGACTAGCCCGCAAGTGGCCTATAGGCGTGACTCTTCGCCAAGTGGGCCGAACTGGGTCGCGAAGTTCGCGAAGAGGTAGGGGACGGCGTCTTCTTGCTGTCCGTTAACAAGTCACCATTCTGTGATCTCCGTGAAGTTCATGAGACGACTGAGCTCGCGGGCGGCGCCACCGAGGTCCAGGATGATGGCAGAAGATGGTTGGGCGCTGTCCATGTCGGTGGCGAGCACGGCCGAAGCGAGCAAGGCCTCCACCCAGAGGCGGAAGGGGTAGACGGACTCTCACTCGGGTGACCATAACGACGGCTGGTAGGAAGTGACACCTCCCCTGCCACCGCCTCCGCCTTGCTGTCCGGCTCCTCCAGGCACCATGAAGGCGAGCCAGAGCAAGGCGATCACGGAGGGAATGATGATGCTGCCCCTGAGCGCCAGAATGGAGATCCTCCTCTGTTAAAGTCCACCACGATTGTAAATCTGCTAGCGCCTTGGTGCTCGGATCTGCAGAGGGACGACTGCCATCTCGAGGCTGGGGGCAGCCGCAGCGGCGCTGATGTCCGTAGTCGATGTAGAAAGTGATGAAACAGGCACGTCTACAAACAACGACCCGCTTGGGGTGCGCAGCGTGCTCACCAGGATGTAAGCCAGCATTGTTGCGCACATGCCGTATCCTAATACTGGCCCAGTCGCGCGCCCCAACGCAAGAGACTGCGTTCCGCGGCCGGTACCGGACGGTTGCAAGGTGACCAGGGCGGTGTTGTGGCGCACCCGCGGGCGGATGCTCACATGCGCATAGCCAATAATATGCTGATGCCCTCGCAGCCAGGCTCTCACGGGGCCTTACACGGTCTGGCGTTGGCCTCATCGTGCCTGTGAGCGCCAGGGGCGGATCACCCGTAGGGTTGCAGCACACCCATAAGCAAAGGCGGTTCACCTCCTCCTCATCCTCCTCCTCCTCGTCCTCCTCCTTCCCTTCCTCCTCCTCCTCCTCCTCATCCTCCTCCTCATCCTCCTCCTCCTCCTCCATGGATGGAGGTTGGTACCAATGCGGCGGGCAAGGGAAGTCCCGACGCGCATCCACTCTACACCCTGCGCGCCTTCTGTGTATCGCGAGCAGGGATCGCTCCCAGCTCCGCTGCCGACCCGAACTGCGGAGGTTGGCGGCAACGAGAAGGTTGGCATGGTGGCGATAAGAGATGTAGGCGGGCTCTTCTCCTTCTCAGAAAGGCGGTCGTACGCGGCGGCGCTGGGGCCGAACGGCGACAGAGCGTCCGATTTGAATGAATAGGAGGAGGAGGAGGAGGAGGAGGAGGAGGAGGAGAAGGAGAAGGAGGAGGAGAAGGAGGAGGAGGAGAGGAGGACGAGGACGAGGAGGAGGAGGAGGAAAAGGCGGAGGAGGAGGAGGAGGAGGAAAAGGAGAAGGAGGAGGGACGAGGACGAAGACGAGGAGGAGGAGAAGGAGGAGGTGGAGGATGAGGAGGAGGAGGAGGAGAAGGAGGAGGAGCGCCTGCAACAAGGAGGAAAAGGAGCAGCAGCGGAAGGTCTCCGCAAGACCAGGGCCCTCTCGAGCAGCTCCGCGGCCAGGTCCGCTCGGCCAGCGGCGACGTGCCCCTGTGCCCGCGCGCCCACCGGGGCGCTGGGCGTCGTCGTCGTCGGGAAGAGGTGGACCCAGGCCTCCAGAGCCCAGTGAGACGGAAAAATAGCGGGGTGGCGTACTTCTCTGAAACCTCTGGGCCTCCTGGTGGGGAGGGGCATCGTTTCACCGATCCCTGCACCCACTGGCGTGGCCTGGGCCTCTCACTGGCCGAGTTACCCCCCTAGATGGGGACGTAGGCTGTGCCCTTGGGGCTTCGAGGGGGCATATTCCCAGCTGGGGTGGTGAGATGGCGGGGATCGGGAGGAGGAGGAGGCGGAGGAGGAGGAGGAGGAAAAGGAGGAGGAGGAGGAAGAAGAAGAAGAAGAGGAAGAAGAGGAGGAATGGGGATGGGCATGGGGGTAGGGATCAGTGAGATAATACTGAGGGGAGGGGAGCGGGGCAGAGGAGGGGCAGGCTCCCTGGCGCGCCGAAAGCAGCCAGCGGGGCGAGGCCGTGCTCGGCAGGTTCGTCCAGATCTTGGCCTCCTGACCTTTTTTGTTATGTGGGGGGGGGGGGCAGGGCTCCTGAAATCTTCGCGCCAATCTTTTTACTCGGAGCCCCGCCAGCGCAATCCATGCAAATCTTCACCTGAATATTCACACAGAGTCCCGCCGGCCTGATTCCTTACTTAACTCTTCGCGTGAACCTTGACATCTGCTGCGCGCCCCGGGTCCCGTGGCAAGCACCCCCGGGGGGGGGGTCGGAGCGGCGAACGCCGTGCGAGGGAGGCGGGGTGGAGGGCCCCAAAGCGCCAAGCACTGAAGACACTGGGGCGCGGGGGGGGGGGGGGGGCACGGGCCCCGAGCGGCAGGCGAGGAGGCGAAGGGCCAGGATGTTCTTGTTGTTTTGTTTTTTGGGGGGGGAGGTGGGCCTCGGGCTGAGGCGGCTCTCGTCCTTAAGCCCCATCAGAGTCGCGCCCCTTGACCTGTGCTCTCTCTCTCTCTCTCGCTCTCTCTCTCGTTGCGCGGCTCCCTTCGAAAGGTGTGCCGCCACAAGGACGGGATACCACTTCGGCAGCTCAGCTTGCCTGCAGTGGCATTCCCATATCTGGCTTCTCTCTCTGAAACTGTACATGCCAATAGGACTACAGCAGGCAGAAGGGGGCCAAGATGGGGGGGGAGGGGAAGCAGCAGAAGCAGGGAGTTTGAGGAGGGACTACTAGGGATCGGGATGGAAAGAGAATGAATGACAAGGGCGCAGGCATGTCTCGGCACGTCGCCTCAATTATCTGCCAAGCTCTGGTCTGGAATTCCAGAGGGTCGGCCAGCAAAGGCGTTTCGCCGTGGAACTGTATGAGCTGCGAACGGCGGCACCTCTGCCTGGCATCTTGACACGAAACCATTCAAACTCCAATGCATCGTCCAGCTGGCCTGGCCAATCTCCGAAAAACTCAATCTGCAACACCACGTCCTAAAACTCGAGTTGCGTTAAACGACGTCTCATTGTGTAACTCCGTCGCAGACAAAAGAAATATTCTGGCGAGGGGCCCAAGGCTGGTGGGACAAAGCAAAGGAAAGCTCCTCCTTTGGCCAGGGAACGTGTGAGGGGTGTGCCAAAATAGGGCAGTGCCGCCACGCGAACCCTGCCGCTCGGGCCTTTGTTGGGGAGCACCCTGTGCGGCCACGAAACGTGTGAGAGATGTGCCGGAATTGAGGCGGGGACAACGCGCGAACCGTGCCACCAGGACCTTCGGAGGAGCTCCGTATGGGGCCACGAGACGCGCAAGGAGAGTGCCGACATGGAAACGGGTACCGCATGCGAACCCTGCAACCGGGGCCTTCGGTGCAGCTCCCCATTGGGCCACGAAGCGAATGAGGAATGTGCCGACATAGAGGCGGATACCGCACGTGAACCCCGTCACTGGAGCCTTCGGTGGAGCTCCCCATGGGGCCACAAAACGCGTGAAGGGTGTGCTGAAATGCGCGGGGCGGCCTCGAGGCGATGATGTCAGCGACGATGGCGATGACGATGATGATGATGATGATGATGATGATGATGATGACGATGATGATGATGATGATGATGATGATGATGATGGTGATGGTGATGGTGATGGTGATGGTGATGGTGATGGTGATGGTGATGGTGATGGTGATGGTGATAATGAGAATGATGATGATGATGATGATGGTGCTGATGCTGATGCTGATGACGATGATGATGAAAATGATGGTGATGATGATGATGATGATGGTGATGATGACGATGATGATGATGAAGATGATGACGACGATGTTCATGATGGTGCTGATGCTGATGCTGATGCTGATGCTGATGCTGATGCTGATGCTGATGCTGATGCTGATGCTGATGATGGCGATGATGATGATGATGATAGGAATCAGGATGAAGATGATGATGCTGATGATGATGGTAATGACGATGATGATGATGATGATGATGACGATGATGAGGATGATGATAAAGATGACACTGGTGATGAGGCTGATGCTGATGCTGAGGTTGATGCTGATGCTGATGATGGTGAGAATGGTGATAATGGTGCTAATGACGATGGTGGTGGTCATGATGATGGTGGTAGGGATGATGGCGATCATGAGGATGATGATGATGATATATAATTAGGATGGTCATAACAATAAAGATGGTGATGGTGGAGATGATAATGACGATGACGATGATGATGATGATCATGATGATGATGGTGATGATGATGGTGATGGTAATGACGATGATAACGAGGAGGAGGAGAAGAAGGAGAAGGAGGACGATGACGGGGGTGATGGTGGAGGTGATGATGGCGACGATGCTGATGATGATGATGTGATCATGATGATCATGATGATGATGATGATGATGATGATGATGATGATGATGATGATTATTATGATGATGATGATGATGATGATGATGATGATGATGATGGTGGTGGTGGTAGCGGTGAGGATGACGATGATGGTGATGGTAGTGGTGACGATGATGGTGGTGATGGTGATGAAGACGATGGTTATGGTTATGGTGATGCTGATGATGATAATGATGGTGTTGGTGATGTTGGTGGTTGATGTTGATGGTGATGGTAATGATGCTGATGCTGATGATCGTGGCGATGCTAATGCTGGTGTTGACCATGATGGTGATGGTGATGGTGATGGTGATGGTGATGGTGATGGTGATGGTGATGGTGATGGTGATGGTGATGGTGATGGTGATGGTGATGGTGATGGTGATGGTGATGGTGATGGTGATGGTGATGGTGATGGTGATGGTGATGGTGATGGTGATGGTGATGGTGATGGTGATGGTGATGGTGATGGTGATGCCCGTACCAGCTGCAGGCAGCAGGGTGCCTACTGAACTAGACGCGCGGCTGCCATTACCAGGGTGCCCGTCAGAGCGTGAAACACTTGATACCCTTCTCCTGCTCCTCGTCATCCCCCTCCTCCTCCACCTCCTCCTTCTCCTCCTCATCCTCGTCCTGCTCCTTCTCCTCCTTCTCCTCCTCCTCCTCCTCGCCTCCTCTCCTCCTCCTCCTCCTCCACTCCTCCTCCTCCTCCTCCTCCTCTCCTCCTCCTCCCTTTTCTCCTCCTATTTCTCCTCCTCCTCCTCTTCCTCTCCCCCTCCGCCCGACCTGCTCCTCCTCCTCCTCCTCCTCCTCCTCCTGTCATCATCATCATCATCATCAATCATCATCATCATCATCATCATCACATCATCATCCACCACCACCGCCACACCACCATCATCATCATCATCATCATCATCATCATCATCATCAGCATCATCATCATCACCACCACCACCACCACCACCACCATCATCATCATCATCATCATCATCAGCAGCAGCATCAGCAGCAGCAGCATCATCATCGTCGTCATCATCACCATCAACATCATCATCATCAGAATCATCATCGCCATCATCATCATCATCATCAGCAGAAGCAGCATCAGCATCAGCATCACCATCACCATCATCATCATCAGCATCATCATGAGCATTATCATCAGCATCAGCATCATTAACAACAACCTCAGCAGCAGCGTACTCATTAGCAGAATCCGAATCATCATCACCATCATCATCATCATCAGCAGCATCAGCATCACCCTCAGCATCACCTCATCATGAGCATCAGCATCAGTATCAGCAGCAGAATCGTCATCAGCATCATCAGCATCAGCATCACCATCATCATCATCATCATCATCATCATCATCATCATCATAATCATCATCATCATCAGCATCAGCATCAGCATCAGCATCATCATGATCCTCATCATCATCATCAGCAGCATCGTCGTCACCATTGTCATCGTCAACAACATTAATATCATAGTCCTGATCAGATTCCTCCTCCCTCTCCTCCGCTTCCTCCTCCTCCTCCTCGTCTTCCTCGTCCTCCTCCTCCTCATCATCATCACCATCATCACCATCATCATCCTTATCATCAACGTCGGCAGCAGCATACCCATCAGCAAAAACAGAAGCATCATCACCATCACCATCATCATCATCATCATCATCATCAGCAGCAGCATCAGCATCAGCATCAGCCTCAGCATCAGCATCATCATCATCATCAGCGTCAGCAACACTATCAGCGTCATCATTACCATCATCATCACCATCATCATCATCATCATCATCGTCAGCATCATCAGCATCATCATCATCATCATCATCATCATCATCATCCGCATCATGATCATCAGCATCAGCATCATCATCAGCAGCAGCAGCCATATCATCATTTCCATCATCAGCAGCATCCTCAGCATCATCATCATCATCATCATCATCACCATCATCAGCAGCAGCATCAGCATCAGCATCAGCATCATCATTATTGTCATTATAGTTACCATTATCATCATCAGCAGCAGCATCTTCGTCATCACCAGCAGCATCAACAGCATCACCAGCATCAGCATAATCATCATCATCCAAATAATAATCATCATCATCATCACCATCATCATCATCATCATCGTCATCATCATCAGCATCATCATCATCATCATCATCATCATCATCATCATCATCATCATCATCATCATCATCATCATCATCATCATTACTCATCATCATCAGCATCACGAGCATCATGATCAGCAGCATCAGCATCATCAGCATCATCATCAAACTCATAATCGGCATCATCATCGTCTTCTTCATCAGCATCAGCATTAGCACCATCATCAGCAGCAGCATCATCCTTGTTAAGTGCATTATCCTTAGCTTCAGCATCAGCATCAGGATCATCAGCACCATCACATCATCATCATCACCACCACAATCCTTACCATCATCATCAGCATCCGCAACATCGTCAACATCATCAGAAGCATTCTCAACATCCTCATCACCACCATCATCATCATCATCGTCATCATCGTCATCATCATCATCATCATCATCATCATCATCATCATCATCATCATCATCATCATCATCATCATCATTATCATCATCATCCGCCTCCTCCTCCTTCTCCTCCTCCTCCTCCTAATCCTCCTCCCCAGTCACCCCCGTTGTTCATCCAACTTCTCCACGAGAAGGATGAGCAGCAGCAGCAGCAGCAGCAGCAGGAAACGAGCGTACAACTGAGGGGAGGGGCGGAGAGTGAGGAGGAGGAGGAGGAGGAGGAGGAGGAGGAGGAGGAGGAGGAGGGGGAGGAGGAGAAGGGGAAGGGGAAGGGGAATGGGACGGAGAAAAGGATAAATAAGAGGAACTGGGAGTGGATCCTGAGTCGCGAGTGCGTTAACTTCCGCGGCGACTACGCGCTCTATATCAAGAGGACCAAAGCAAAGAAAAAAGCGGGCACCCCTGTCCATCTCGTCGTGCCGCGGACGCCTCCGCCTCGCAGGACCAGGCCCAGACAGTCACGCCCAAAGCGGGCCCCCGGAGGCCAGAATTGGGGAAGAGCACCTGGCGCAATGGGTTCCAACATCCTCCGCGCGTCCTCCCCCTTGCCCCACGGCGGCGGCGCGCCTCGGCGTCCTTCTCCCACGCGGCTATCTCCTCCGACGCACGCCCGCTACCAGACGACATGGGCGGCGGCCCCCGCCCCGCAGCTCGCCCCGGCCGGACCGCCCCGAGACCGGCGGCGAGGTTTGGAGGAGGAGCAGGGCAGATAGGGGGCAGAAGGAGAAGAAACACACACACACACACACACACTCCGTGGGGCCCAAGCTCGTCCCCAAGGCAGACGTTCGGAGGCCCAGGGGCTCTCCTCGAGAGGAGAAGCCGGAACACGCCTGGGGGCGCTGGGCCCAAGGCTGCCCGGACAACTGGTGCACTGCCCGGGCATGGGGGCGGGGGGAAGGGGGGATTCGGCAAGGCGCTTCCCCAAGCAGTTTTTTTGCACTGAGGGGTTGCGCGCGGAGGTTGTGGATATGGTGGCTGCCAGGGTCCGGTCGGGATCCCAGTTCGCGGTGCGTGGTTCCGGCCTCCCCGAATTCGCGCAGAGACAGCAGAGTGACTGAGCTGTCGAGGGCGTAGAGAACCTAGAGAAGGTAGGGGCTATTGATAATCTACAACATGCGGCGTGTGGAAAGCGCTAAGAGCATCAAGAACGCCGACGATGTAAAGCGTGGGGAGAAATACGAACGAAGACACTGGATCATACCCAGCTTTCTTGCGAGACAGTTGCCTCGACCCTGGTGCGAACGCCAGCCCGCGGACGACTTCAACCGCCCAAAAAAGCGCAGTCAGTCAGCTTGACGGCCGTTTGACGGTTGCGACGCGAATGTTTCTGAAAACCACTGGCGCCGGCATGCCATCAATTTCTAACACCGCCTTACGAATCCATGCATTCAATGCTCGGGTGCGCGTGCGTTGATTGCGCAACCCAGGCGAGCACTGGTTCTGATCAGGAGGCAGCTTGTTCGGCATGCCCGCAGGAGTCATATAGCACCGGCAAAACCAACGCTGCCGAATGTTGCGAAGGTCCTGCGTGCGGAATCTTCTTCACTGGCCATCGCCGTCACCATCATTATCATCCCATTCCCCCTGATACTCGTCTCCCTCTCCTCCTCCGTGACATGGTCAACCTCGCCCCTCACCTCTTACAGGGCACACGATTTTCCGAGACTCTTGTTGCAAGTCCGTTTCTGCCTTTCTGGGCGGGGAATTGACGCAACACGCAGCGGAGACCGATGATGCTGCAACCTATCAACTACGGTACTAATACCGCGCGAATATGCAGCACTGCGCTAGCGCAAGGAAATGCACTTCCCCAGCAAAAAGAACAAGGAGGGGACGAGATAACGTGAAGGAGGAAGCCAAAACTCGATAGCGTTTGTCTTGCAGGGGGAGGCGCACGAAGCGGCAGCGCCATTCCCGTATGGAACGACCCCAGCGCGACACCAAATCCGCCGACCCTGTCGACGCTTGTGGAAGAATTTTCCGTTGTCGTCGTCGTCGGCGTCGTCGTCGTCGTTGTCGTCGTCGTCGTCGCTCCCTCTCTGCCCCTGTCCATAGCCCCTCCTCGTTACACGTCCCAGCCCCAAGCCCAAAGAGAATTCGAGAAACGTCGCAATCGAGTTTTCCTGTCCCACCGCGGTTCTAGCCCACACACGCACACACACACACACACACACACCAAAAAAAAACAACTAGAAGCACCTCCACTTGGATCCCTTCTCCGCTATAGAGGGGGGGGGGCCGGGGGGGAGGGGGGGATCCTTGGGGGATCCGGGGGAGGGGTCCCGTGGGGGATCCGGGGGGGGGGGTCCCGGGAGGGGTCCCCGGAGGGTCCCCGGCAGGAGGCCCCGTGGCGGGGAGGGGGGGGAGGGCTCCAGGCCTCGTGGAGGGCGCCCCTCCCCGGGACAGCGTTCCCCTTGCGGCGCCTCCCCTCCCCCGCGCCGGCGGCTCCCGGCGCAGGGCGGGCGGCGCGAGGACGCAGAACCTTCGAACCAGAGGACAGCTCCAGGCAGGACCAACCCCTGAGATCCGACGGGGATGTGGGGAGTTTTCGGCCTCCAGGGGCCCTGGCCGGGCCTCGGGAGCGTTAAAAGACGATTCGGGACGAAAAACCGGTCCCAGGGAAGTGGTCCGGACCTCCAGGGCCCACGCATCGAAAAAATTGGAGCAGCCGGATGTCTGGGACGACAGTGCAGGCCTAGTGGGGCAACAGTGCAGGGCCAGCGGGTCCGAAAACAATGCGATGCAGCCTGGGCGCTGGCTGCGACGCAAGCAAGCGCCAAGCAACACTCCAAACAGAATGCCGCGCAATGCGTTGAGAGGTGTGCAGAAGCGGCGCAGTCGCAGCGCGAACGACTGCGGAAGAAATGCAACAAGAAATCAAACGCAATGCAGCGTGACGCACTGTCACGCTGCAGAATCTACGAGGGGACAGAGAAAAGGTAGCGCCAAACAAAGACAACGCAACGCATTGCAATACAATGCCTTGCCCTAAGAACCCAACGCAACGAAGGAATCAGACAAGAATTATGCTCGTGATCACTCGCCGCTCCTCTCTGGTACATGGTCCCACATGCCCTTCCCGTTCCTTCGAGAAGTGGCCTGGTCACATCGCCTTGCAGCTGTCCGCGGCTGGGCATGACGTTGGCACTCTGCAACAACCAGGGTGCTGTAGATGACCCTCTGCACTACCCCGTCTCGGCTGTGAAACTTCTATGCCGGCATGTTGTCGACGCGGTGGACTGCAAAGCCCCTGCTGCGGGGACACGGTATGCCCGCACCTCCACGTGGGGCCACCGCCTGCACACTTCGTTCACGAACTCGTCCCGTCCAACACACCACCCAAACAGAAACTTTGTTGTTGTTTTGCGTTCTGACCCCATGTGTAGCTGGAAACGCGCGAGCGCAGCCCTGCATCGGACCATTTTGCGACCACTGCTCCCAGTACGGCGGAGACTTCCCTCGGTCTGACCGATTGAGAAGTGCAACTCCACACCGATGGGGGCGCGCGCGTCCGCAACGGGCCACTTGGGCAATTTCGTTGTACTGGCTCTTCGGCGGTTCCGACAAACTCTGCCCGCGTGCGGTTTGAATGCGTACGGCCGTGGGCATCTGCATTGTGGACCGAAGCTACCACGCTCGAGCCGGGGCCCGCTGAGCTGATGAGGGCCTTCCCCTCCCCCTCCTTTTTTTGCAGTCGCGCACTGTGGCGACCGCCTGGAGCTAAGCAGGCTGGCAACAGGAGACAAAACCAAAAAAAAAAAAAAAACTGAACGTACCCAACACATTCTACACATGCGGAAACGATACACAAGACCTAGCAATACAAATGAACATGTTGAAGGACCTGCAGGAGCCCACGAAAGTGGCGACAATTGCGCAGTTCGCAGCCCGCCAGGGAGCCACCAGGCGCCGACTTAGTGCGTTTACGAATCCCCTCCGCTGGGCCTTCCAGGAGCTGAGCCCACGAACGTGGCAACAGTTGAGCACTTCGCACACCCCCGGGGGCCGTGGGGTCTCGACTGGTTTTCTTCTACAGCTCAATTTCGATGGGCCCCTCAGGGGCCCACGAACGTGGCGGCAGTTGCGCAGTTCGCAGCCACATAGGGAAGCCGCGAGGTCTCTGCTGACTGCATGTATAACTCCACTCCGCTGGGCTTCCCATGAGCCAACGAACGTGGCGACAGCGGCGCAGCGCGCAAACCCCTCACGTAGTTTCACTGGGCCTCCCAGGAGCCTACGAACTTTGCGATAGCGGCGCGCTTCGCAGCCACCCCCAGGAGCCAAGAGGCCTCGACTGGGTGCATTTGCAACTCCACTCCGCTGGGCCTCCCCAAAGCCCAGGGAAGTGGCGACAGTTGCGCACTTCGCTGCTCCCAAAGAAGCGCAAGGAGGTCCCAGCTGGATGCGTTGACAAGTCCACTCCTCGGAGCATCCCCAGAGCCCACGAAAGTGGCGACAGCTGCGCATCCCGCAGCCACCCAGGGAGTTGAGGGGTCTCGGCTGAACACTTTACAATTGCACCCCACCAGGACCCCCAGGAGCCCACGAACGTAGCTACAGTTACGCAGTTCGCAGCCCCCCAGGGAGCCGCGAGGTCTCGACCAGGTGCGTTCCGCTGGGCCTCCCAAGAGCCCACGGAAGCGGGGGGCCGCGAGGTCTCGGCTGGCCACTCCGCTGGGCCCCCAGGAGCCCACGAACGTGACGACAGTTGAACACTTCGCAGACCCCCAGGGGGGCTGGGAGGTCTCGGCTGGGTGCGTTTAGTACACCCCATCCACGGGGCACACGAAAGTGCGACAGAAGTGCACTTCGCAGCCGTCGCGAGGTCTCGGCTTGGGCACGTTTACAATTCCACACCGCTGTGCCTCCCAGGAGCCCACGAAACGGGCGACAGCTTCGCACTTCGGAGCTCCCTGGGGGAGCAGCGAAGCCCCACTTCCCACGGGCACGCGAGAGAGGCAAGCCACAACGGGGCTGCAACGAAGCAGGACGAAGATAAAAAGGGAGAAGGAAGAGAAGGAATAGGAGACAGGAGGCAGGAAGTAGGAGACAACAGGCCCGAAGAAAGACGAGGGGAGGCAGGAGGAGGAGTCGAGAGCACAGTTCCCTATGCAAAACAAGAAGACGGGAGGGTTGAGAAATAAACAGAAGCGCCGATGACGACGAGGACCCTCGGGGAACGGAAAACCGCTGACAAAAATTCGCCAAAGCGACACCCGTCTAGACACGCACGACAAGCCCCAGCACGAGAAGCAGCGATCCGACCTGGCCAACGATATGATAGCTTCTCAATAATGACGCTGTCCAAGCAAACAGCAGCGCCACTCACGACGACCACCTGTAAGCAGGAAGACATTTATAACATGTTGCGTCTGGGCTACCTGGCCGACAGAGAAAAAGAAGCCAACCCTGCTCGCGGGGCCAGTCGGCGACTCGCACAGCGCTAACTGTGCGCCGACAGGAGGCATGGTATGATTACTGTCGACGGGCCTCCTGGCCAACCCAACTCTGCGGTAGCGATAGCACACACCGACGAGCAAAGGACCGTAAACCATGCCCGTGGCCACGCGACGTGCATTTAGAGGGCCGGGCGGGCAACCGCACCTCGGAGCACAGAGCCACAGGTATTAGACCTGCGGGACAGCAGCAGGCCGACAAGAGGAACGGACTAATAAGCGTCA